GAAAAACTCATACTTTGATGAAACCTCATTTGCAAACATCTAGGCGTGTCGTTTAAACACGAGGAGATAAATGATCATCTTTCGTCAAACGTCTATTCACGTAGGAATCATATAGTACAGTGTGCTCACGTCGTCTTCTCATCATGAGCTATCATGTCAAAGATGTACATTAATCATGAATGCGTATAACGTACGACAAAAGTAGCTGTGCTTTTACGAATTTATTGATAACTAAATATCGACAGTGATTATTTATGATAATGACTTCATTCCTGTACATGTTAATCAATCTTTTGATGTTGAACACAATATATTATTTGTCGGGACAGATTAAGGAAGTTTGAAGAACCTTTGATGCGTAATGGAAAAAGGCAAAGTCATTAATCAAAACTTCCTGGCCTGTCAAACTTTTGTATGTCCCCGCTCTGAGACATGACAATAACAAGATTACTTTATCATAACGTATTTGAAAAACAACAATAGCAAAATTCAAATTTTGAATTAAGCAAATTTACTGATTTTTAAAAAATATGAAATGATTGATAAGAACACAGAGCTGTTTGCTTTAAAAACACGAAGACAAACATTTTGGTGTTATATAGTGAGCGGAATGACATCCTTTCGCCGTACTTAATTAAAATGGCCCAAACAGAGAAATATAATGTTCTTTTTCCAAAATTAATTATGTGATTGACTTTTATTCATTTCATTTAACTCAACACTTAAATCCGAACTGAAAGTGATCCCTTCAAGAAAATTCAATTATTAACCTTATTGGTTTGAATCTTGGGCTGATCATCCATTTGAAATTCAATTGTATCTAAACACTGTTAAAACACAACTTCTGTACAATTATGGCCCGTGAATATCTGGCGTTTCGGTTAATCTTGCTTCCGAAGCACTGCTTATTTCCTGACACACTGCATCGTCCGCACCATAATAGGAAGGCATGCTTTTTCAGGAAACGAAAACGTAAATCGATTTCAGCGAATACGGACTTAGTCAAAGATAGAAGTATCTTCCTTGTATTTAGAATAATGGTAATGCACCTATAGAATACGCATTAGGGTTTGGTTATTTATTTCATTGCTCGAAGCATGTCGCTTCATTTAAGCCAAGATGATAAATCTTTAATCTTAAGCGATTCTGTCGCCTCCGTTCGCTTGCCATCCATCACGCCCAGCAGAACTCCGTATTTGATTCATAGACTTTGTCCAAAGCTTCTATCGCCAGTTTAAATGACCTCGCCTTGCCGAAAGGTCACTTGTTGCCATTCCGGCTGTTGAAGTATGAATACCGCTAGCGAGACGGTGTCTGCCCACAGGATAATGCTCCACATTAACATAGAGTCTATTTCAAAAGGCGCGGCTGTCGTTATCAGAGAGCGTATGGCTCCGTTGTCATCGTAAGTCTGTCTAGTTTTCCGACACTTGGAGACTTTGTTACGAACAAAGACCTCTAAAAACATATATCAAATTCTTTTGTAGAGCGGGGACACCATAGCTTTTTTCAATCAAAATTCTGATTTTTCCTTCTCACGTTTGAAATAATCCAGGCATCTGTCTTGAAATAGAACTTGAAAGGGGTTCGGTTTCTTTTATAGGGGATGCCCACGTCTATGCTTCGGTGTTTCCTTTGCTCCTAAATGACATTCATGTGAATTATCCCTAGACTGTCTTCACGTCTTTGATAAACCACTACGACGCCGGGTTAAAAAAAATCTTTATCTTTAATCTGTTTTGAGTTACCCTCGTTTCAAGTCTGTACCTTAAAATTAAGCTTCTGTTGTCAAGACGATCGTGCTTGTGTTGGCAGACAAGGGCTTAGAGTGTCGCCTTACAAATGTCCTGAAGTTGATGCCAATGCAGAGTTTGTTCATTTTGACAGAATCATCATAATTCACGACTGGCTCTGGCACGAATGCACATCACTGTCAATGAAAACCTATTAATCATGACGAGGAATGTTGAAATATATCTATCTGTTCTTAGTTCCTTGTTCTACATCAACTTAACTTAACCCTCGCTTCATTTGTTTTCCTGTGTAACGTCGCTCACTGTAGGTGCCTGCCTAGCCTGTGTCTGTTCGTTTATTAAGATGTCAAAAGTGACAACGGATGGTCACATTAAAGGACATTAAAGCAAGAAAAGACACCAGGTGGTGACTGGAATGGATGTGGATACATAACATGAGGGATGGGCATGTTCAACACGCGTAAAAACACCAGGTGGTGATAAGAATGACTCTTGGGGTTGGGCATGATCAACACACGTAAAGACACCAGGTGGTGACTGGAATGGATGTGGATCCATGACGTGAGGGGATGGGCATGTTCAACACACGTAAAGACACCAGGTGGTGACTGGAATGGATGTGGATCCATGACGTGAGGGGATGGGCATGTTCAACACACGTAAAGACACCAGGTGGTGACTGGAATGGATGTGGATCCATGACGTGAGGGGATGGACATGTTCAACACACGTAAAGACACCAGGTGGTGACTGGAATGGATGTGGATCCATGACGTGAGGGGATGGACATGTTCAACACACGTAAAGACACCAGGTGGTGAGGTGGTGATCCATGACGTGAGGGGATGGATGGATCAACACACGTAAAGACACCAGGTGGTGACTGGAATGGATGTGGATCCATGACGTGAGGGGGGATGGACATGTTCACACCACACGTAAAGACACCAGGTGGTGACTGGAATGGATGTGGATCCATGACGTGAGGGGATGGACATGTTCAACACACGTAAAGACACCAGGTGGTGACCTGGAATGGATGTGGATCCATGACGTGAGGGATGGACATGTTCAACACACGTAAAGACACCAGGTGGTGAGGTGGTGGTGACGTGAGGGATGGACATGTTCAACACACGTAAAGAATGGATGTGGATCCATGACGTGAGGGGATGGACATGTTCAACACACGTAAAAAGACACCAGGTGGTGACTGGAATGGATGTGGATCCATGACGTGAGGGGATGGACATGTTCAACACACGTAAAGACACCAGGTGGGTGGACTGGAATGGATGTGGATCCATGACGTGATCCATGATGAGGGATGGACATGTTCAACACACGTAAAGACACCAGGTGGTGACTGGAATGGATGTGGATCCATGACGTGAGGGGATGGACATGTTCAACACACGTAAAGACACCAGGTGGTGACTGGAATGGATGTGGATCCATGACGTGAGGGGA